TGGACGTACTCGTCAAGGTGTTCATTGTTGTGCCGTGAAAATATTTCCGAAATGCTTCTCGGTTATTTTTAGACTATGGACGAAATGAGCCACGAAATAGACCATATCAAATGAAATGTTGGTTTCAGAAGAATGAGTGATTTGCAAATGTTTTCTACTCAGGTCTACATCAAACAAAATCAATCATTCGTTTTATCTGAATCTAAAAGTTTTCAATTATTAATTCATCAGTAAAGCTTTAGCTGTCCTGTGATAGTTAAAAAGCGGGATAAACTCGTAACATTTTTGCATTGTAACTTGCATTATTTGCAGAATTAATGTTGACCGGAAATTGATAGTTCACAAGAGATAACTGTGATGTTTACTGCAGCCGATCTTTCTAATGTAGAGATCAGAAGCCGTTGTACAACTCAACCAGTGTTTTAAGTTTTACAGGAAAATTTGCTTTTCTCCAACCCGGTGACAGAGCTTGTCTTTGATCAAGATATGAATCACTAAAATCGTGGGTCCTTGACCGATGTGGTCCCCATGGAAGCAATACCAGAGTATCACTACTTTATTGTGTGCTGAAAATCGCTAACCACATGCACCATAATGCTTCCACCACGAAATGTCTGGCTTTCACGCACAAGCATACGATATTATGGGTGGAGGTGAGCCACTTTATCGGACCTGTGATTGCACAGCAAGTAGTTTATTTATTTACCTAATCTGGATACGGGCATGTAAATTACTTTTTGTAATTTGTATTTTTGACGACATCTTCGCTTGTCTTACTCGTGAGTAGCGTGTATATCCCTCATGAACCTCGAATACTTGTGATCCAATTCCCTGTTTTTACTGTACTGACACAGTTCAGATTTACCCCTTTCCGACGTATGGTGCGTGAACATTTTACGTTATGTTCCCGACTCGATTGTTCTATGATTGTACATTCCCCTTGTAAGAAAAATTTGCAGAACGTTACACTTACGCTTCTTGACCCACTGTCTGTACCGCAACCGTGCTGCGCTACAGTTTCGCATGACTCCTTGCTGAGTGGACCGTTTATGACCGCGCTGTCCCGATTCTTCGGATAACTTTCTGTACTGTTGCCCTTGGTTGCTCACCTGGCTGTAAGTCATTGCATTTATGTATTGTTATGTATTGCATTGTTTAGAAACACGAAATTACGATAAACACGGTTATACATTTGGAATTTGTTCTGCTGCCTGTAGCCGTGTACAGCCCATATCGTGCGTAAAGCTAGTGAGACCACGTTTTCTGTTATATTGAGGGTTCAAGTAATCGGGATAGTTTCTACAGTTAGCCAGTAACCAATATTGTCTGGAATGAAGTCATTTACGTCCAGTATACAGTCATTTAATGATGAATTGCCTGGTTTGCGGAAAAACTATTGGGAGGCTCAGTCAGCAAATCGCAGGGAGGCTCATCCAGCAGACCGCATGGAGGCTCATTCAGCAAATCGCATGGAGGCTCATTCAGCAAACCGCAAGGAGGCTCATTCAGCAAATCGCTGGGAGGCTCATTCAGTAAACCGCTGGGAGGCTCATTCAGCAAACCGCAATAAGGCTCATTCAGCAAACCGCATGGAGGCTCATCCAGCAAACCGCATGGAGACTCATTCAGTAAACCGCATCGAGGCTCATTCAGTAAACCGCAATGAGGCTCATTCAGCAAACCGCATGGAGGCTCATTCAGCAAACCGCAGAGAGGCTCAGTCAGCAAATGGCTCAACCTCCAGACCAGAGCTACAACGTGAACTGCGACTGGCCAGGTTGAAGATTAAGCAGTTAGAGCTGGAGGCCGAGGCTGCCAAACGCATAAATGAAGTCAAGGATGAAATCGTCAAAGAATTGTCCGACGATAACTGCAGTTTTGGATCGGAGCCTATACTGCCACCTACGCCACCTTGCAGTGAAAGACTGAAAATTGTTCACGATTATGTCATGTCCTTACCAGGGTCAAAAACAAGGCAGGAAGACCAAATTACACTGAACGGACCGGGAATACGTGTTCTGCCCGCTAAATCCAGGGAATTCGACCACGTCAGCGAGACCGCCAGGCTGTTGCAAGCTTGTATGAGCCTGCCTGCTCGCCGATCAATCAAATTCGATGGAAATCCCATGGATTTCATTGGTTTCATGAGAAATTTCCAGTCCACAGTCGCTAGGTACAATAACGACCCCGCCTACCTCCTCGATTACTTGATTTCGGCCTGTGAGGGGGAGCCAGCTGAAGCCATTCGGTGGTGCACGGTCCTTGAGCCGCAGGAAGGCTACGACGAAGCCATACGCATACTAGAACGCCGGTTCGGCAGGCCTCACGTGATTGCCAGAAAATGTATCGATGAGCTAAGTGACGGCTCTGTGCTGAAGCAAACTGATACCAAGGCGCTGGTAAAATTGGCGGATCAGATGAAGGTGTGTTCGGCCACGATGAAGAGCCTCGGCTACCAGGCTGATCTGAATGCCTGCCGGACGCTGAGCGCTATTGTGCAACGACTGCCCACCAGTGTTCAGTCTAGATGGTTCGACCGGGCATCCTTCATTCTCAGATCGGGACGGGAGCCCACTTTCGATGAACTAACGAGTTTTGTCAGCGATCAGGGTGATGCTGCCTTGGTTAGCCTTGTTTACGTATCGCGACCGGCCATTTCTGCGTCTAGACAACCAGATTCTCGAAAGCCCGCTAGCAGTCTATACTCCACCGAGCGAGTAGCCACAATCATGTCAACCGAGACTAAGCCATCTAGCACCAGTCCTAAGCCGACCCCCAACAAAGTTTGCCCTATATGTGAAAATCCCCACTACGTGGACCAGTGTAGCGAATTTCGAGACTTAAAGGTAATAGACAGGTATAATGCCGTGAAGAAGCTGAAATTATGTTTTTCATGCTTAAAGCCTAATCATGTAACTAAAGACTGCCGTTCGCGAAAGACGTGTGGCCTGAAGGGCTGTGTAGGCCAACACCACCCGATGCTACATCGACCAAAAACCCCAGAATCTAATCGTGACCAAAACCTGCCAACAGACAACACTGCTTCGGTTGGTCACGTATTAGCAGACGAAAGTACCGCCGGCCGTCGAATTTCCCTTGCTATATTGCCAGTCCGCCTCCGAGGTCCTTTAGGGGAGGTCACAGTGAATGGATTGCTGGACAATGGATCGGACACAACTTTCGTAGACCAGTCGCTCCTGACAAAATTGGGTCTCAATGGGAAGCCCGAGCTTCTGACGGTTAAGACCATCGATAGTAATTGTGTAACCAAAGCGCGCACTGTATCCTTTACATTAACTTCGCTAGACGGTCAGGAAGTCATCCAAGTCCGCCGAGCGTGGGCAGTAGAAAACTTGCCTAAACTGAGACCACTCAACCTAAAGCAAGATTTAGAAGTTTGGAGTCATCTGCAAGAAGTCCTGATGCCAGCCATTGATGACTCCGACATCCGTATTCTCATTGGTGCCGACGTTCCAAAGGCACATTGGGTGCTAGAACAACGAACGGGCAGTCCAGATGATCCTTATGGCGTGAGAGGACCTCTAGGATGGGTGATATTAGGACCGACTTCGTGCCAACGTCCTTGTAAGGCGACGGCCAATGTTAGTCATGTCACGGCCACTGAATTGGATATGAGCTCGGAGCGTATGTTCAACTCTGAGTTCGTGGAAGAGTCTTTCATCAAACGGAGTATGCCAGAAGATGATAAAACAGCTTTACGTCATATGATCGCCTCAATGATTTGGGTCAACGGCCACTATGAAATAGCCCTGCCATGGAAGCCCGGTGGACCATGCTTGCCGGATAATAAGGATGTTGCACCGAAGAGACTGCTGTTTCTGAAGAAGCGATTCGAAAGGGATCATGACCTTAAAGAAAAATGCGCAGCCATGGTCAACGAGTACATTACGAAAGGCTACGCTGAGATTGTATCCGGCTCAGAACAGAACTTGACTGGCCCGCATGTATTGTATCTGGCACACCATGGAGTGTACAAGCACGGAGATCAAACGAAGGTTAGAGCTGTATTCGATTGTGCTGCAGAATGCAACAAAACGTCCCTGAATAAGCAACTGCTGACGGGTCCAGACCCCGTCAACAGTCTATATGGAGTTCTTCCGAGGTTCCGGGAGTATCGGTACACCCTGGTTGCAGATACTGAAGCCATGTTTCACCAAGTAAGGGTATCGTGGAAAGCGCCACCATTGGAAGCGACGGCCGAACAAGAGAAGTCATTGTACGCACTGCTAACGGCATTCACCGACGAGATCTACGACAACTGTGCTTGCTGGAAGGTGACGCTTCAATTACGAATATGGCTGGTGAGGTTCCCTGACCCCGGGGGCAGTGTAAATTACTTTTTGTAATTTGTATTTTTGACGACATCTTCGCTTGTCTTACTCGTGAGTAGCGTGTATATCCCTCATGAACCTCGAATACTTGTGATCCAATTCCCTGTTTTTACTGTACTGACACAGTTCAGATTTACCCCTTTCCGACGTATGGTGCGTGAACATTTTACGTTATGTTCCCGACTCGATTGTTCTATGATTGTACATTCCCCTTGTAAGAAAAATTTGCAGAACGTTACACTTACGCTTCTTGACCCACTGTCTGTACCGCAACCGTGCTGCGCTACAGTTTCGCATGACTCCTTGCTGAGTGGACCGTTTATGACCGCGCTGTCCCGATTCTTCGGATAACTTTCTGTACTGTTGCCCTTGGTTGCTCACCTGGCTGTAAGTCATTGCATTTATGTATTGTTATGTATTGCATTGTTTAGAAACACGAAATTACGATAAACACGGTTATACATTTGGAATTTGTTCTGCTGCCTGTAGCCGTGTACAGCCCATATCGTGCGTAAAGCTAGTGAGACCACGTTTTCTGTTATATTGAGGGTTCAAGTAATCGGGATAGTTTCTACAGGGCATTTAGTACGTATTCAGGCAGATAAACTTCGTCACAAATTTTCTTCCCCTAGGCAAATAGGGTTTTGAATGGTAGGCAAAACTGATGATGATGATGATGATGATGATGATGATGATGATGATGATGATGATGATGATGATGATGATGATGATGATGATGATGATGATGATGATGATGATGATGATGATGATGATGATGATGATGATGATGATGATAATGATCATGATGATGATGATGATGATGATGATGATGATGATGATGATGATGATGATGATGATGATGATGATGATGATGAAGATGATGATGATGATGATGATGATGATGATGATGATGATGATGATGATGATGATGATGATGATGATGATGATGATGATGATGAAGATGATGATGATCATGATGATCATGATGATCATGATGATGATGATGATGATGATGATGATGATGATGATGATGATGATGATGATGATGATGATGATGATGATGATGATGATGATGAAGATGATGATGATGATGATGATGATGATGATGATGATGATGATGATGATGATGATGATGATGATGATGATGATAATGATATAGTACAACTTATGAAAACCGTGTCCAGTGGGTCTGGTTGTGTTAGGCTTCTGTGACGAATTCACAAGATGGTTGGAGTTAAAACGTTATGCGGCCCTGATTCGTAGTCAGATGCGTGGCTGCATTTGAGCTGGTTTTTCATCATCGAAATTTCTGCGCTCTGCTTCCGCTTTTCCACTCTCGGGCGCCCAATGCTTCGAGATATTCACCCGAACAAGTTCACAATATTAGACAATTCACTTCTGCAAGCATAGATGAGAACAGAGTGGCTCTTTGTCCGAATACCTCTCCTCTGGTTTTCTCATTAGTACAATAATTTCTTTAGAACCCCTTTCATTTATCACTAATAAGAGCTTTTCATTGTTGTAGGAAATTAGTCAAAAATTGTAAAGCCTCAGTGGTGAATCGTTTATTCTGATAATGACAATGTGCTTTATCATAGCAATCTCTTTTGCTTGTGAAGCAAACTGTCTTATTTTTCAGTGTCTGAAATACTTGAACGACCTCTTCAAGTTTGGAAAACATTTTCGTTCAAATAAAGTAATATTTTTGATATATACTTTGGAATTTGTCACCTTGGCAAAAGGACCCCAAAAACAGTCTTTGGATTATCGGTTAAACAGTCTCTGACCTTTACCAGTTATTATTTTGGACTCTGTTACCAACTAATGAAGTAAAATTTATCCGGTTTTGTGGAAAGTATGTTTTCTACCTCATTTCGGGAATCATCAATAAACAACAGCTTGTTTTGAATTCCACCCCAAGTTGTCTCTTTCGATGTGTAGAATTTCAAAAGACCAAGCACTGATGATGGGGAATCGGATTCCCATTCCAATCGTATCGATCAGCTAACTGTACACGTCTAGTCATTAGCCTTCGAAAATACTTGAGAGTTGTGTTCATGAGCAATCCGCAATACGAAAAGAGCCACAAATAGTTTGTGGAGATGGGGTGGAGTCGGCTTGTGGCCTTCTATGTCCTGTGTGGGATATCCGGATGCTGCTTAATCACACGGAAACTAACTGCATGCACCGCACAGCGATTCTTCAGAGCCCGAATGAATGGTAAAATAGAAAACTGCTTTCCAAATCTTAAAGAGATATTCGCTGAAAAATGTTTGTTGATTCACACAACTTAACAAGGTTAATTATTGGTGAATATGGTAACATCGATTGAACAGTATAAGAAATGAAGATTCTCTCTAAGGTCATCAGTCTGCAAGTGCCTACTGGGCATTATGCCATTTCTCCTTCATACTCGTGTGTGAGTAGGATCGCTGGCCTAATTGTAACACAATTTTACAAACAAGACAACTGTCGTAACCTCAGATTAAACACGAATAGTTTCCCGTACAAAAGATTTCAGATGAATCATCTTTCTGCGTGTGATTCCTTTTCACTTACTCAGAAAGGGGTTAACTACTCTACTATTCTGAGGACTTCAGATTGAATGAAACACAAATTAAAAGGCAATGATTCCCAGTGCGCTATGGTCCTACTGAACCGGAAGACGAGACGTACGAGGAGTACTTGCATTTGACTAGTAAGGCAACGGTCCAATACTGATGTATGTGCTACGTAATATATAGTTCTTTTTGAAGTCAAAACATCAGAAATGTTGATCCTTCGGCTGACTAAAATTTCGGCGTCGTTTTAACTGTGATTGCAACTAGTCAATTGGTTCTCTTGCAAACGCTTTTCGTTTCATAGGTTAGATTGCTCCCATCAATATCTTGGTCGGCAGCTCCCTACATGCGCGATCTCAGTGACTGTCTAAGATCACGCTCGAATCATAAGGCTATTTTTGTCTCCAAGGGAATGCTCCCGACAGATCCACTGTCTCTCTGTTGGTCTGCAGTCATTGATCTTCTGTTGTAGCATTCCCGCCATTATTTGGTTTCAGGAATTTACACGCACACTATACATATATATATACATATATATATATATGTATATGCATGTACATATCTTCATTTATACATATATACATGTGTATATGTTTATATATTTTCGCATTTGAGAACTTGCTTCAGTCGTTTAGGGCAACAAACCACCTAAATTTTCTTTCTGAATACTAACCGCTTCAATACCTCATGTCTTGTTTGGACATTTTGCTTGCCGGAGCACGTTACCCGGTTTGTAGAGTTTGATTTCTACCACGTAGGTTGGGATTTCGGATCCTATCACTTCCGGTCATTCTGGGAGAAGACAGTAGTTCATTACATTCCCACTCACTACCACCACACCTACTGGGAAATATTGCCGCTTAGGGAAATTCGCAGTAACCATCGCCAAACCTATGGAAGTATATTTACGTGGACCAAGCGATTGCTGATTCTACTGATTCCGTGCATCTATCTCCTAATCTCGACAACATTTAGCCAAGGAAAACGAATATTTTGGCAAACTGGATTGGTTGGTAAAACCTGATCTCCATTGCCATCATGGTCAGGACTCGTTGTCTGATCTCTCTGGAATGGCTTTGAGACATTCGAAATACGAACTTGAACGCTCGATTTCACGTTCGCCTGTACTCCGCATCAAGCACACTGGCCAAGATTGCACGGTTTTCTTGATTCCTTTCGTTAGCTAACTTGAATAATGCTACTGGACTCACTCCTCGAATGCCCAACTGTCCTTTTCACTTATTGCTTTCAGAGGAAATGGAACAATCGTTAATAAAATATGGAACGGAACCACTGAGTAATTTGGTTTTCAGTCCCAATCAGAATTACGGACCTGATTTGAAAAGAGGTGTCAAGTAATTCCGAGTTGACGGCGTGCAATAGTTTTTGGCTCCACGTTTCAGGGACACCGTCGTCTTGTAGCGCTTCGCACTTCATTTCTGTGGCTCCCGGGAGCCTGATTCCAGTTCATATCCGAATCTCTCTGTAAATAAACTGTACTAAATCTCGTTTTTTTACATGAATAGTGAACTTTAAAAGGGATTATACTGCACCTTCGAGGTGCGTTTTTGGTGGATATTCAGCTCGATCCATCAGCCTGAGCATCTTTTTACCGGAACATCTTCAAAGGATGTTGATCAATTTTCTTCTAATTTCTTTGTGAATTTTACAATAAGGTTCAACTCACTGAATACATACAATGAGCACAAAAGACCTCAGTATTAGAAATGCTCATCCCCGAAGTTTGTACGAGTTGACATGTGAAATACCACAGACAAACTAACTCAGATGAAATGGAAAAGTATTAACTGATACCTAAGACAGGTAGTCATTTATATCCCAGTCCCCGAATTAACGTAACCTATTTTTCAGCTCTCTGGGTCTCTTTGTAGATGTATTTTTTATGCGTATAGTTAATGATGGGTGATTATAAGCTTTCGTAAATAGTTCTTTCCGTCTTAACACGATTTTTCACATGTCTCGGAACGATTCTCTGTCCCTTTATTTGGTTGAACTAGTCTTGAAATCACCAAACTGCACGGATGAAGCGGAAGAAAATACCAGTACGGTAATTTGTACCGAAGTATTGGTAATGAAGACAACAGATGATCCGAACCAGACCACGTTCAAATTGGTTTGGTCTGTTCAAATTGGCGGCATCTTTACAGAAGCCAAAAAGGCAAAAGCCCGTCAAAAAGCCGCAGAAATGCTAAGTAGGAATAATTGTGAGCATCATATTACTTTCGTTTATCAAAGCACCCAGGAAAATCTCACGGAGTGAACCAGTTGGTGCAGAATAAAAAGAATGTTCAGTGATGAAAAATTGCAAGCAAAAACGCACTCCGTGATTCTGTTGAAACCCCTATGTACGATGTGTTTCACTTTATGTAAGTATTTTTTCACAGCTGGAGCCTAGTGCTAATTACACTTTCTGTAGACGTTTTCCGATTCTCGTATGATCATGAAATTAAAACCAAGTTTCAGTGGGGCATGGATGTTGCACATACATCAACACGATTTCAGAGGTCATGGGCAATAATTTCAGTAAATAAAAGGCCCTATTTCTCCACTGTTTAGGTGAATGATCCAATGCGACCAATGCGGTGCGTATTTCTAAGTAACCATAATATTACGGTTACCTGAATTATTTTCCTCAAGGATTTCGCAGCCAATGGGACGTACATCGAATAAATTTTCCCAACAAACAACTCATCGGAAATCAGTTAATACTTTGGCATTTGTACTTTTTAATAAAATAATATACTTGCTATGACTTATTTAAAAGCGGTTTTTCCAATTATTTTTTCATGTAATGAAGAATATAATATCTCTGGACATCTATCTTTGTCGTAGGTTGTTGTGTGCACCGTGTTTTCAGAGACAGTGCATGTACAGAACAAAGTGAGTCTTGTAGAAGTAACCGAAATGTAGACTGGCTACTTTCATTTTCCACAACTTTGTGAAAGTAAACGTGTAAGGTTTACATGGAATCCAACACCAAGCATGTCAGTTTTGCAACACTCCGGATTGAACTGGGTTACGGTACATTAGATTACTGAGGGTTGGGAGGAAACTCTAGAGTCATTCGTTGTAGTTATGTAATCTCTCACGTGTTCAATTGCAAATCAAAAAAGTGGCACTATCAACCTATTATTTACCGCGATATTTGATCGTAATATATCTTGATTTCTTGATTTCACTTTTGGTGTCAATATCGAAACGTAACAGGACACTTACATCAGCGAGGTCTGTGAATACCGGTAATGAATCAAAAACTTCTCCATCACTAGTGAATTTTCACGGGATTCTTTTTCTCCGACCCCAAACTTGAACTAACTTTCAAGGCCACATTTTATCTTACAAAGACTTTTTTTGAATTTCCCAAGGGTTCTTGTACTTGGCAACGAGTTTAGAGCCTTTTTTGATTGCAGTCAGAAATCGTCCGTTACTGAATGTAGATGGAAACTCAATAAAACATCGTACTGGTTAGAGAGCTGCTGTAAAACATCATACTGTTTCCAAAAGCTGAGACCGTCCATGTTATCTTCAAACGTTCGTTACCTTTTGGGAGAAATTTGATGGGGAGTCCCGCATCACCTTGTAAAATGAACCGGAGAAGGTCAGCGTAACACTTCTCAAGGAAAATGTTGT